TCTTTGGAGGGAGCTGAAAGTCCGTATTGCCCAGCAACAGCCCCGAAACCTGAAGGATCTGGAGAAGGTCTGTATGGAGGAGTGGGCCAAAATCCCTGCTGCAGTGTGTGCAAACCTGGTCAAGACCTACAGGAAACGTATGATCTCCGTAATTGCAAACAAAGGTTTCTGTACCAAATATTAAGTTCTGCTTTTCTGATGTATCAAATACTTATGTCATGCAATAAAATGCAAATTAATTACTTAAAAATCATACAATGTGATTTTCAGGATTTTTGTTTTAGATTCCGTCTCTCACAGTTGAAGTGTACCTATGATAAAAATTACAGACCTCTACATGCTTTGTAAGTAGGAAAACCTGCAAAATCGGCAATGTATCAAATACTTGTTCTCCCCACTGTAGATGGCCTACATGTAGAGAGACAGAGGGGCACAGTTTCGCTCGCTCGGATGCTTTCTCCTGTGAGATATATTCAGCCTCTTGCAAATTGATGGAACATTTTGAAACACAGAGAGATCAAATATCTTTTTGATTTGTTAGATTTTTTATTTAATTGGTACTTTTTGGGGGGGAAGCCTGGCTTCCCTTGGCATCCATGAATACATGTCACTGACACCCCTCCGCATTGGACTCTGTGCAACATACAGTACTTCAAGAGGGAGGGAGGCTCTTTAAATCTCCCTGACTTCAATTGACTGACCTCTCACAGAGAAGAAATGACATGACTCAATCATTGACTGGCCTATGTATTCCGCATTGAACACAGAAATGAAACAAAATGAATAATTAAGGACGACCATTACAAGTTGAACCATAAGAGACAGACAGAGAAAGCACAAAGAAGAGAGGATGATTAGAAGAAAAGAGAGAGGCAGAAATCATGAGTAGGCCTAAATTATGAAAACAATGTTTGAACTATTGTGATAGAAAGTTTTGAAGATTTCTAATGGAATACAGCACTGTTCCTGAGTTTTCACCTGTTCGCAAGTACTTTATCAACCCTTTCTTTTTAGAATCAGGTATCAGGTTACATGATTGATAAGGCATGCATGTGCCATAATTGCTAAATGACAAGGAGTTTACAATTCATGATGCAAGATGAATATGCAGTATCATGCAGCTTAATTCATTGATTAAATGTATTGAAGTATATTAATCAAGTGTTTGACATTAGCATATTTGTAACAACACAACAATCTAACAGAAATAACATGACAGATAGGTCTACGAAAGGAGGTGTAATGGAGATTGCTACTAATTTTGACCACATCTTTAGGTAAAATCTGTGCAATGAGTGCTTTTATGTGAAAATTGCAATCCAGTCTTAGCTGATGCAATAAGCCATGTATATGAAGACTGAAAATGGAGGTCTAGAAGTAGAGGTGTAATGGTGAGGTCCGGGATGTCTTAAAACGGACATTACAAATCATAATGATTTCAGGGAAGAAGAAATTATACTCAAGGGCTCGGTTTCTGTCCCTTATCTCTAACAGGTAATTATTTTTATGGTAATTCATTAAACAAATGAGATTCATTTATTATGATGATGTTGTGTGATGAGATTTTCAACCCTCTTTTCCTCTGTGACTCACAGATAAAGCAGAAAACACATCCTTGTCTAACCCATAGAAGGAAGCAAAGTCAGGCAGATAGTTAATGTTTTGTGTGTATCCAAGCAGGCAAATTCCAATGCACATTTGTCCCATTACAGCACATCAACATCAGAGCGAACCAAGCAATGGGATAACATGTTTAATGGCAGATTGACAAAGGATTTGCAAATGCGAGCTGGCATCAACTTTGCTAAGTTCGGTTTTCACAGCCGCCTCTGCAATGCAAGCATACATATGTGCATAATTCGATTTTTCTACTAAGCTATTAGTACAGTTTTTAGAAAGAATCTCCAAGCCCTGGCCTGTGTGGAGAGTGAAAGCTGTTCTGATGTTTCGTTTCCGTCAGACTATGAATCATCAGAATCATGACATTTATAGACCTTAAGACAGTTTAAATGTTTCAATTTTTTTTTACAGCTAGACATACCGCATCATGTTTAGGCAGGCTGTTACTTTTCATTGTCTGCAAAACATTGGATAAGAATAATTTCTTAAACACGATATGACTAAGATAAAGAATTTCACATACCGGCACATATATTTTTCCAAAGTTTATTTCATTTACTTTTCCTTCATTCAATTTTCATGGATGAGAGGGAATGTGATGACACATAATACAATCTAGCTTTAACAGTTCACCACAACTGCTGGATGTACAGTACTGTGTATACCACTGTCTCTGCTAACCAGGGGCGCAACTTTCACTGGGGACGGGGGGGGGGGGGGGGGGGGGGGCCGGGGGGGACACCCCACATTCTGAAATTGCATTTTTGTCGCCCCCAGTTTAACATTGGAATGTGATACAAAACTAGCCAACGGTGTGCTTTAGGACCATGCGGATGCCTCCGAGCGGTCGGGTAGACTGTTTGGTGTTTACCCGACTGGATAAAAAAATTAATATATAATAATAAATTATGTCCCCCCCCCCACTTCTAAAACCAAAGTTGCGCCCCTGCTGCTAACCATATATTTATGTCCATGAAGTGCAGTAGGGATACAATACTACTACCTTCAGCCATTGCTGAGGTGTCCAGTTATTTTGCAAATGAAGATCACAATTCTTAATAATCATGCCCAGTGCACAAAGATCAACTGTATTAAAATGGAAACATCTCAAATGAAAAATCATGCAGCATCAAATGGACTGTTTAGCAACTCACTTACTTACCTGATATGAGTCTGTTTTTTGTTTGATAAAATGGCATTTGAACCTTGTTGAATGTTTGTTTTAGCTCATGGTCACATATACAGTACATATATTTTACTTATAGATTATACACTGAGTGTACAAAACATTAGGAACATCTTCCTAATATTGAGTTGCATCCCCTTTTGACCTCAGAACATCCTCAATTCGTTGGGGCATGGTGTCGAAAGTGTTCCACAGGGATGCTGGCCCACGTTGACTCCAATGCTTCCCATGGTGGACCATTCTTGATACACACGAGAAACTGTTGAGCGTGAAAAACCCAGCAGCGTTGCAGTTCTTGACACACTTAAACCGGTGCGCATAGCACCTACTGCCATACCCCGTTCAAAGGCACTTAAATCTTTTGACATGCCTATTCATTTACCCTCTGAATGGCACAGATACACAATCCATGTCTCAATTGTCTCAAGGCTTAAAAATCCTTCTTTAACCTGTCTCCTCTCCTTCATCTACAATGATTGAAGTGGATTTAACAAGTGACATCAATAAGGGATCATAGCCTTGGATTCATCTGGTCAGTCTATGTCATGGAAAGAGCACGTGTTCCTAATGTTTTGTTCACTCAGTGTATCCCTTCCCTGTACAGTAAAAATAAATCACCAATGTGACTTTGACTTATTAGACCAAATTATGGTAAGAAACAATCCTGTTAACTGCATTGATGACAGCATTTTATCAATGGTAAACCTAATGTTGATCACTTGCATGCTATGCTGATTGAGCCAGACTACTGTATAAGCTTGTTGTCCCACATCCAATACTGCAGTGAATTTCTATAGTCATTTCACAAAGGATAAAAGAACAAAATTGTGACATTCTGAATTATTACAACTGCAGCAGTACTGAGGCATATCTCCTCTTTAATAAGACAATTCAATCTCACATTTTAATTTTCATGAATAAACACAAATGATCTGAATATTGCAATCAGTTTTTCCACTATGTTCTTCCCATATCTTATCATTTGTGCTGGTCTCAATTTGAAATAAGTTGCTACTCTACAACATAATGGCTCTACAGATGAATCAGGGGATCCATTGGTGAGGCGAGGCATTACATAATTTATAGCTTTAATCTGCTCACTGAGATGTGTGGTCTATGACAGTAATTATAAATGCAAGAAGAAATTATAGCTGAATACTTTAACTGCATTAGGAGTCATCTGCTGAACAATTGTGATTGCCTGCTCATTTCCAACAGAGGGCAAGTTGGTGTCACAGTATTCAAATCACCATAGCGCCCATGTGCTTTTCTCCATTTGCCATCAAATGTCAGCCGCCTGTTATAAAACAGAGATTTGATGGGTGGTGGTAATTGAGGGACTTGATTGCTAGAAAGAAAATAGATTAATTGTGTAAAATGTTTATGAATTTAGCAGGCAATTATTTTTAATAGCTGTGAAATAAGAGAGCTGAAGGAAATGTCTACTTGTTATGAAGAACACAGTCACTCCCAACCACACATTGATCTAAGCATATATTGTTAATCTACAGAATTTCAGGAGACATACAGGATACTAATTTAAAATGAACACAGGATGGTAGCAAATGTTAATTCTTTATTTCAATTGGTTAAAAAAAAGGTGCAGGTATCATTTGTCTCACTGCCATCCTTTTAAAATGAAACACACTAATATTTTATTTTTCCTTGTTTCCAACCTGTCTAAATTTGTTGGGTTCATGTACATAATCTGAGTCTAAACTGGTGATTTAACATTTATTAAAGTGCTTTTCTGTTCTATCATTGAAACACAAAACATTTTTACATAGCAATTCACTGTACAGTTCAATAAATGTGTTAACATTTGTCTGGCTACCTGTTTAAAACAGCTGCATATTTATGAAGGTGAATCATTGGAGTTGAACATTACAATTTATCCATTACATTGTCTTTGAAATAATACAATTGAAACTTGACATATTATACAAATAAATAGTAGTCATAGCCAGAGCTATTGCATGCAAACATTTCATTACTGGTGATGCATTTGAGAAGGGTGCAAAGGTATAAGTTGGTGTATTCTTTAACATTTTAGGGTTTAGTCTAGCCAGTGTGTCCATGTCATCTTCAATCAAATGTTTTCAATGTCTTTATGCTACTACACAATGCTACTGGAAACATGGCTGAAATATCAAAAATCAATAACAACAAAAAAGGTAGCAAAAATGAACAACTCCTACTCTTTGTCTATTTCCACATATTGTGAATGGTTCTCAGGTGATTTGCTGTGAGTTTTACTCAAGTGGAGTTTAACCGCATGGTTACTAGCAAATGTCCTACAACACAGCTTACATTTGAACTTAGTGTCAACGTCCTCCTCTGTGACTAGCGTCCCTGTCGCACGGACACTGAGAGCCTTAGACAGTTCTGGATCCTCAACCTTTGTCTGATGCTTGATAGGCAATTTGCGCATATCTTTGATTTGGAACCCTAGGTGTGATTCCAGGTGGGAGATGAAGGCTGGTGGTGTCCTGAACTGGGAAGCACAGTCATTGCAGTAGAAGATCGGATGGCCAGTGTCCATGCTCTTCAGAAACTTGGTCCCCCCTGTTTTCCTAAGTTGGTATTTCACATTGGCCAACCAATGGCTGATGGTTGTCATGGACAGTCCAGTAAACTTAGAGATGTGCATTCGTTCCTGAGGACCAAGATCTGAGAGTAAGTACTTGCCCTCAGAAGTCAGAAAGAGGCTGGAGGCGAACTGGGCTTGGAGGATGATAAGATGCCGGGGGTTCCAGTTCGAATGCCTTCCTTTGCGCTTGTGAACCGAGTATACCTCAGCCGACACGTCCTCAAAGCGTCTCACGTCTGATTCCAGTTTCATGGTGGGTATCCTTGATGGCATAGACGCTTTTGGTGTGGTGGCTTTAGGAAGAACCTTGACCATGTCAGCAATGTCAGACAGAGCGTGTTTCTGTGGCATTGGGGCAAATGGTTGTAGATGGGAGGAACTTGGCTTGTTAGGTTTATATTTTGTCAGGTCTATTGGCTGATCATTGCTAGCAAACAGGAAGGCAATGTTAGCGCTGTTCCTAGCTGGGGTAGCATGCACCACTGCTGGTTTCTCCATACTCTGGTTGAGTTCAGCGAATATAGATTGAGAGCGAGCAGATAGTTTACTATTTTCAGATCTTGAATTGGTGGGATTATTTGCTTTACCCAAATGGCTGTTCAGAACTGACTGCAGTGAACTTAGAGGGTTTATGCCAAGTATTTCCGGGGTGTCATTGACAAGCTCTGAAGTAGTGCTTCGTCCACTGCTGGCAGAAGGGCTTGGTATCTTGCCTCTGTCTGAGAAATCTGGGCTCCACTTCCCTTTGATCACATCACTCCCTTCATTCAGACAGTCTGCATCGAGCTTTGAAGAGGTAGAGGAATCGTCCTGACAATCGCTGTCATTATTCTCCACCAGATCAAACTTAATATTCAGATGTTCTTTACTATCGCTAATGCCAACCTTTTCTTTCTTGATGTCCGCTTTTCGATACTGTTGCTGTCCCTGTGGAGTGTCAACTTCAGCACCCTGAAGAAACTTCCCCTTTGGGGTGATCGGTCTTAGCTTGTGGTTGAATGTGTGCTTTATCTGAATGGGGTGAGACGCTGAGAGAGGAGTGCTGCTCTTGATGATCCCAGAGAGTTGATAAGAAGCGTGGATACTGGGGTAGGCACTCCAGCTGGGGGTCCCAGTCTGAGCCTTGTTGATTGCAGAGGCCACCGTGTTGGCTAAAGACTTGAGGATATCCCCTCCTCCATCTGACGATCCCTGCTGCTCCAGATCCTCCTCACGAAGATATGGATATTTAATCACCCTGTTCCCTGTCTTTTGATCCTCACTCTCTGCCTTGTCATCTTTCACTTCACTTTCTTCCATTTTGTCCAATGTGCCTTCCCTCTGGCTATCTTTCTTACTGCCCCCTGGGGAATAAGTTTTTGGAGACACTTTATCGCCTTCAGTTACGTTAGCAAGTGGCTCAGCTAATACTTGCATATTTTCTATAACCAAAGGATCCAGAGCTAACTGTTTCCCCTTCTTAGAGGCTGAGTTTGTAACTTTCATGAAATGTCCAGTGACCATCATATGAGTGGTGAGTTGTTGCAGGGTATCGTGTGAGCTTCCACATTCCATGCATTTTAGAATCTGAGATTTGCATGTCTCAAACTGCCAAGTGTAGCTAGCCCCATTCTGATAACCATAGCGATTACTGTTAGCATTTGAAATAGCAGCGGACCGTTGGGCCTCGCTGTAGCCAGCTAACCCTGTGGTAGAATCAGGAGAACAAGGTCTGTTGGCCTCATAGGCCCGTTTCTTTGCTGGTGGCAGTAATTTGGGTGAGAGTACTGGGATAGGTTCTTTCAAAGGCACTTTTTGGTAATGCTTAGTTTTTATCATATGGACACTCAAGTCCTGGAGGGACTCAAAAGAATGGCCACAGAACATACACTTCAGAACTTTCTGTGCATCCTCTTTCCCTTCCATGTCTTGCAAATTTCGTTTTCTTGATTTGGAAGAGGATGTGGAGGCATTGCTTGGTTTGCCATGATTGTTGTCCTGGTAATGTCCACTCTTGCTCATGTGCACTGTCAAATCCACAATACTGTCATAGGCTGCACTGCAGTCCTTACACTTGAATCGACTGGCCCCTGTAAACACCGTCCCACCTGCTTTGCTGCTTTGTCTGTAGAGATGGACCGAGCTGAAGAGGTTGGGTTTGGACACAGGCTTTGGGGAGTGTGTTTGCTGGAAGGTTTTGGAGAGTGCATCCTGATGCCAGTCAAATTCACTCTTGGTGCTAACATTGGTGCTGTCACAGTTAGCTTTGCTGGGACTTTTGCCAATTTTCAAGTCCATCCCGATCCCTGTGCAGTAGGAATCTGAGAGAAAGTTAGCATAGGCGGCCCTCATTTTCTCCAGGCTGCTGTGCATGTCATCCTTGTGTTTCGAACCGCTGCTCCACTCGTTCTTCTGTTTTTCAGGTGGTGAGGAAGTTTTGAAGTCTGAGAGTGAGAGTCTATCGCTGGCGTCGCTAAGGCGCGACTCCAACTCGGCTTCTTGATGGGAAAGGACACTGAGGGGGGAGTTCTGGTAGCTGTAGCTGTTACTGCTTTTGTTGTCCATCTCTTTGTCCTCTGAGGCCTTGGGACTTGTGTTCTCAGAGCATTCCTCTTCAGTTGGAGTATCATTCTCTCCGTCATCCTCAGGGATGGTCTCTCGCATGATGCCATGTTCATCAGGCTCGTATACTGAAAAAGAAGGAGAAAGAGAGATACAATTTATAGACCTTTGTTATCACTCTTTAGATAATCTCATTCCCAGACACTTCCGACCAAATGCGTGAAGAGTCTGGTGGACCAACGTGTCAAACTGTGCTTTCGTTAGCCAATAAAGAAACTCCCGGTGCATAGGCATTGGCTTAATCGTCTTAATCTACAACACCTTCCTTGTAACCCTCCCCACGCCTCACAGTCATGTGATTCACAAAAATTAAATGATGACAAATACTTTACTCAGTAGGCAACTCCCATAGAATTATATGGTCACTCCCACTAAGGCCAACTTTGGATCGTTGATATCCCAGGCTTATATACGCTGTGCACAATAGCCTGGGGACGAGGTTACTCTTTACAATACCCCTATCTCTGTTTAGACTACATAATAGTAAGACATCACCATAGGAGAGGGACATGAGTTGAGTTGCAATCACTACTGAGCATTTTCAATATTTCTAAGAATGCAAAACATGCAAGGTACGTCAAAACAATAGTTATTGTTTGCTTTTTTGTTTTGTTTTCAGAGAAACTGTGGAATCCACACAAGGCTGCATGCAACAATGCAGGACTGAGCTACTTGAGAGGATCAACACTATGGATGGACATATGCCTTTACTAACAAACTGCTGGTGGTCAAGATGCTCCTTGTGATTCATGGAGAGCCATTAACTTAGTGCTGTGTCAAAGCTTTCCCTGCCTCATGTTGAGATGTTTACAACAATCGTTGGCCAATGACTGACAAAATGCAATTGATTTCTGCTGGGGTTTTGCTAAGTGTTATTGCTAGTGGCCTATTCCAAAGTGATTATAAGTGTCTCCAAACTGCAATGAACTTGCAATGAAAAAATGTAAGCTTTCTCTGTTGGATAATATCTTTCCATGCTTGGATCCACCAGATTGTGTTGCAGCAAATTACACAGACTGAGAGATATTCTAATATCCCACAAGTGTTCTATGAATAAATGAAAAAGCCTGAGCCTTGCAAGATGAGAGGGGTTTACTTAAATTTCACATTTCAAAATTAGCTGAAATGTATCCTGTCTCCATTTAAGTGGTTACAGAGTGACTTTCTTGACAGAGAAATTTGAATTCTTGATGTAAATTTAAACCTAAATCTGGACAATTAACAAATTAATCACAGCACAACAAAGAACCAGTAAATTGTTGAAAAATAGATGTGTTTATTATAACTAGATCATTATCTAACATTTCTAGAAGTTGCTGGCAATCTGTCACATCGTTATATTGTCCTTGACAGGCTCATAAACAGCAATTATCTATTTCATTATTCACCTGTTTGTTCACACTCATAGGGCTCAATGTTATTGCATCAATTAACTGATAATTAAACAACAGTATTTCTAATTGACATATTTACCATCATCTAATTTGCATTACTTGTGACAAAGCATATTAAGCAGTTTTGAACAAGGCTGGAGGATCAGATATTCATACAGTAATAATGAATAAGTAAAACTATTATCAATATAAAACAATCAAACTCGTCTCTGTTGAATTAAGGTCCCTCTCACATTTAGCCACTCCACAATATGAATACACAAAATACTTAAAAAATGGTCACAACACTTTTGAAGAGACATCTTGCAGTATATGCATACATATAATGTCCTCAAATTCATCTTGGAAAATGTGCATTTTGGGAGAAGTTATGGCAGATGTGCTTTTAGTTAAATATGAATAGGACATAACGGCCTTGTCCAGGCACCTATGCATTTCATGTGGGTAATATTTCTCTTTTGATTTAGGGGCACTCTGGAATGCTGAATGTGAGGAGCACTCCAAGTACTACAGAACACTGGGTCGGCCCATAGAATGTCATCCTCCTTCGCATTCTGAAAATAATAATTTTGTATCAATATTTCATAAGTGCCTCAGGAGAAACCCTGGAGGTGAACTGGTTGCCAGCTAATGGATGAAGATGGTAATGGGACTCTAATGGGACTGGGCCTTTCAAAACAAACATGGAGAACAAGGAGCAACACAGCACACCAGAGATTCCCCAATGTGCTGTGACCCTCAACCGCAAGAGAGACTTCTGGATTGGCCAACTGAGATCACTGATGGCCTCCAACCCCCCACCCCCCCATGCTGGAGAGGGAGTGTTGTCAGAGTACAGATACATTTTTATTGATCGTTTTATAAATAGTTATCATAGATACACGAGAACACTATCGCCTATGACAAGCTTCTAGTTGACGTCTTCTCTTTTGAATGTCTTGATAGAGACTATGGACGGAAGTCAATTATAGCACATAGCTTTTTTGCCAAATGCATATTACCGTAAAATCTTTCATTTATGTCAACCATTACCAAATATTGATTGATAAAAGAGAATTTCCAAGTAGAAGTTTCAAGGATTGTCTGGTGACATATTGCAGATATAGCAAAACAGCTTTACTTAGCATACTTCATGCAGATAGTGAACCTTCTAACTAATTAATGGATTAGGAATTAGCATTAATAAATATTTCACTAAGAGACACTTAGCAATCATACAGCAATGGAGTACGCTGACACGCATCCGATAAATTGTTATTTCATGGCAATTAGATGATATGATTTACTATGTTCAAGTAGCTTCATCTACACTGCCATAGAGCCCTACCAAACTCAGCATGCCTATTTAATGAAACCAAAACTTATTAAGATAATACCTACATTTCCAGGAATTAAAATCCTAAGGTAACAGAATGTGAGAATAGTCTACATTCAGTATACTGTATTTTGTATTTCCAGATGAAATTGACACAGAAATGATCAGCAGCATTTCCTGCCCACATTTCTTTCCCATTTGGCCCCTTTGATCAGAAGTTATCTCAGAGAGGAAGAGGCGAAGCGAGAGGGTCCACTCACGTCAAAATCTGTCCATGCAGGAATACAGACCGCCTGCCTTCCCACATTTGGGACAATGACTCCCATTGTTAGGGCGGAGACAAGACCATCTTGTCATTATATACAGTATCTCTGGTTATCTACATACAAAGTCACCCGGCAGGGGTTACTCCAAGATACCCACACGTCTACTTCCACCTCTCAAATGCAAGGGCAGAGCGTTCTCTGATTCTACTTAGGGACAGTGTAGTCTACATCTCTGATACAGATGTAGGATATTAATTTGATCACCTGTTGCAGAAGAACTTTCCAGCAATGCAGAACATTTAAAACTTGTAGTGTATTTGAGGCTTGAAAAGGCTTCTGAAGATTGGAAATTAGTGGAAATTACAAATTTCAGACTTGAATTTCTCTTATGAAAAATATATCAACTCCTACACAAATGTTCATTAATCATAATCCACATTTCCTGGATTATCTTCCTGCTGTAGCAAATCGTCTCAAATTAAGATCCTAAAACTGTATGATGACAAAACATGTGTCACTGCAATACTGGAACACTCCACCCTAGTAGTAAATTGTCAACTGAATACCTGTAGTTTACAATTGCTAAAACTGTCAAAATACAGCACAAGAATAAATAAGATGCAATAATACTGATGTCATCATTTGTCACGATCGTTGAGAGACGGGTCAGACCAAGGTGCAGCGTGAAAAGCGTACATGTTTATTAACTAAATAAACATACAA